TGCTTGCCACGCAATCTTTCAAGAAGGGTTCCTCCTTTAGAGTCAATGGTTTTAAAAAAAAGTGGTCCGTCTCAAATCGCGAGATGCACTGATCTAACTTCCCATTTCATGTTCCCGGCTGCTTATGCGTAATCGACTGTGATGTTCTCCAGGAAACTACATTAGCCATGAACTTCAAACTACAGATTCCTGTTGACGAGGACTGATTAGGTTTCATCGTGATTAAGTTGGATCTCTGTATTCAGTCTCCACCTCATATGTGCTCCAAAAGTGCCGAAGGGTGTAAGACAGGCGTTTGTTCTGTTTGCAACTGAATTCACGCCCGAATTCCTACGTGGGATTTCTCTCAACCACACCGCTTGACCCTGCGTCTGGACTGGAAACGCGCTCCAAGTGCGATATGTAATTTGGATGCTCAGGAAGTGGATTGCCAAAAGATAAAAGCACTGCAAGTGACTGATTCACCCCTATTTTTATACTAACAATCAACCAACCACACCTTAATATGACCCTGACTATAAGGATTCAACGTCAATGGTCACTAGCAGGGCCATGATATCGGCATCTATAAATATGCTAGACTTATGTGATACAGGATTCATAAGTGACTCATGAACCGCATGACGAGTTCATCAGGTTACGTTTATTGTGTGAGGTTAGTGGCGTAGTATGTGTACGTCGGGTTCGTAGAGTACATAGTACAGTCACCATGCATTTGGACCGACGTGTGATAACCATATGTGGTCGGCATCGTCCATGGAAGATAAGACGCCTGTGTCAAAGTCTTCTGATAACACAGCAGTGCGTTCGCTTGCCTCACAGCCACTGCCTCGGATGTAGCCTGCAGCCGTTTGCGAAGGCCGCTGACGAAGCTTGCTGGTGTCCGGTAGACAACTTTAAGGACTTCCTTGGCACTGACCCGGTTATTCGTATCGACAAGATGCAGAAGTATCGAACGCAAACTAGATCTGTTCTCATCTCTGGCTGGCGCAGTCGATATAGATTCACATATTGACTTTTCCGGGCGTCTGTTTTTTGTGGCCAATGTGTCCTCTTCCACAGGAGCAAGTGAATGTGCAAATGCATATCGGCGTGGCATGCAACGGTAATCGATTCTTTTAACTAAATCACAGAAGGAGAGATTTTGTTATGCTTGCATGTTATAACGCCACTGGGATTTCAAAAGCCGTCCTAACCACTTGGCGACAAAAATTCGCAGTCCACGCACCGACTTAGAATCATCACTCACATCATATCACCTTCACGTACCTATATGCCATTCCACGCCATACGCGTCACGCCGATGGCGTGGGAACTGTGAGTGTTAATACCTTCTAGGTCACTTATAAACCCTGCACAATTCTTATATTTTAATATCGAAGCAACTATGTTGGCCTAATAATCAGTTACCAAAAACACCTGTTTGCCAAACTGATTCTTTAATCATTTTTCAATTTTGCTGTTTAAAACAACAACTTAAAACATGAAACACTTTCAGCTTTACCGTCCATTACATTGTAATTACTTATCCCAACTGGCGTTACCCTGTTCAGATCACTGTTTTATTGTTTGGAAATAATGATGTTAGGGAAGTGCAGTTATTTTTAATGTTTTCTGCACAAATATTTTGTTTATTATTTCCTCCTCTTTGGTAATAAGAAAAAATCACAAGGGTCTTGAACGGACGAGTAAGGGGTTGGAATTCATTTCCATGCGCTTTTCGCCCAAACCCGTTTGCGTTTGATAGCCCTGTGGGCACGCGTGTTGTAACAATGTAGCAGGTCGTTTTTTTCGTCATCTTACTCAATCGCTTCAACAAAAGTTATGGCAAATCAAGCGACGTCGTTGCGAGAGGTTTAAATCAAATACTCGTTTGAGTTACTTAGCCAACTTGACACTTTATTTGACTCAGAATTTTAGCCCATTTTTCCAGTCCGACACTGCTATCGAAAGAGGACATTGGCATTTTCTCGATAAGATTGACGGTAAATTTACAACCTCACTTGGGAGGTCTACTGAATTAATTCGTGAGGCTTATTACGTGATGCGAATCATACCTAAGGAGGTGGGTGAAACAATCGGATGGAGGCAAGGGGCCTACGAAATCCATGTGCACATGGCTGAACCGTGCGTCGGGACTGGGGAAAGTGCCTGGTGAGGACTTGTTGTGACGCTGCACCTTGTTGCGCGGTCAACTGAAATAGGACCTAGCGCAAGCTTTGACGTCGTTATTCATGCCAGGCCAGACAAAACTTTCTGCGAGCAGCTTTTGAGATGCTCGGATCCCAGGGTGTGAGACCCGATGCAATGTTTAAAATACAGCTCACCGCATCGAGGCGGGCACAAAAGGGCGATGCCAGGGAGTTGAGACGTCACAAAGTATGGTACCAGAGCCGGTGGTCAGTGGAACGTCTTTTAGTTGGACCACTAACAGACTCGTCGTCAGGACAACCGGCTCGCTGTTGCTCAGTCGCCATGGCGCAAATCTTGATCCCGTGTGAGAGTTGGAGGGAAGACAGGGAGTGTCAGCACAGCATATCAGCCACCTAATTCTTCGTGCCATCAATGTGGCGGATGTCGGTGCTGAATAGGGAAATGTAGTCTAGGTGGGAGATTTTCCTCGGATTGTACTTGTCGGAGTGGGAACGTAGTGCGAAAGTCAACGTTTTGTGGTCAGGGAAAACAGTGAAGTCACGACCTTCAATGAAATTCCGGAAGTGCTTCACAGCCAGATAACTGACAAGTAGTTCGCGGCCAAAGGTACTGCAGCGTATCTCGGCTGGTAAGAGCTTTTTGGAGAAAAAGGCAACTGGTCAAGTCGAACCAGCAAGGTGTTGTTGAAGGACTGCACCTACAGCTACGGTCGAAGCATCTACCATCAGGGACAACTGAGCTTCGGGAGCGGGATGCGTGAGTAAGGTGGCATTGACAAGGAAATTCTTAATTCTCTCAAAAGCAGTCCGTGCTTCAACTGTCAGCTCGAGGGGACCTTTGGAACCAGAAAGCATGTTGGTGAACGGCAACATCAGGTCAGCACAGTTCGGTAGGAACCAACAGTAAAAATTGACCATGCCGAGGAATCGCTGTAACTGACGCTTGGAGGTTGGAAGAGGAAAATTACGAACTGCTTCAACCTTGGAGGGGACGCAAACCTTCGGAGTCGACTTGATGGCCGAGGTACTCCAGCGACGGCACACGTAACACGCACTTGGAGGTGTTGACGACAATGCCAAATTTGTCAAGGCGGTCAAACACCAAAACAAGATGATCTTTGTGTTCTTCTTCATTCCGGCTGGCCACCAAGAGGTCATCAATGTAGGCGAACACAAATGGTAGGCCACGTATGACATGGTCGTGGAACCTATGGAACGTTTGGACGACATTACGTAGACCGAACGGCATGCGGACGAACTCAAAGAGACCGAAGGGTGTGGTGACGGCGGTTTTAGGGTTGTCCTCATAAGCGACTGGAATCTGATGAAAAGCACGCACCAGATCAATCTTTGAGAAAACAGCTTTGGTGAAAATGGCTCCAGCAAAGTCCTGAAGATGAGGCATGGGGAACCGATCAGGAATGGTAGCGCTGTTGAGGCCTCAATAGTCGCCACATGGTCGCCAGTCGCATGATGTTGCCTTGGGCACCATGTGCAGTGGGGACGCCGAAGGGCTCTCGGGCGGGCAAATTATTCCCAGTTGCAGCATGTGTTCAAACTCCGCTTTCGCGGCCTGAAAACGCTCCGTTGCTAGTCGTCTCGGTCGAGCAAAAACAGGAGGACCTGAGGTGCGGATATGGTGCACAACATTATTTTGGACCCCACCAATGCGGAACTGGGGATTAATTATGCTGGGGTGACTTAAAGTCTGTTAACGAAAGGGGCTAAATATCCGTATCTAAGACAGACAATTTGATGTGAGCAGTAAAGAGAGTTAGTCCACGAACACACAGACCGGTTGTGCGGTCGAGGAGGTGGGCACGTCGGCAGTCAATAGGGAGATCGAACTAGCAAGAAAGTCCGAGCCGAGGATAGCATGAGGGACATTAGCAATGACAAAGATTCAAGCGAATGACCGACAAAGGCGAATGTTCAAGGTGAGGGGCCGACTGCCAAAAATGGGATTGGGGGAACAACTGGCAGCTTGGAGGTGAAGACCAGGGCGATTGGGAGAGCAATGCTGATTTGTGCTCCAGTGTTAACCAGTAAACGTCTGTGAGTCGCAGTGTTGCAAACATACAGTGTGTTACCTAACTTATTAAATGCTGGCGGAAATTCTGAAATGCGTTTTCGATTAGGAAGGATTACCTGGTCGCGGTTGTAATACTGACTATCTTGCGGCATACTCTTATGACATTTCGGACTCGGCAGGATTTCGGCTTTTAAATGCACTTCTCCTCAATCTCTTGTAGAGAGCGTACTTGGTAAAAATGACTACTTATGTAGCATGCATTTATTCCATTGATTTTCGATGGTCTAGCAAATTCAAATATATTTTATAGAAACCATAAATATAAATATGCTTTCTTTTAGTCACTCAAAAGAGAACTACGTCTTCTTTAAATCGTATGCCTGACGAAGGTCTCTAATTGGGTTTCTAAAAGGTTTTTCAATTGCCGATTAATTTGGAGCCTGATTGTTCGTTGCATTAGCGCTTAGTTATTTCAGTCTGCAAGGTGCATGCGTTCCGCGTAAAAAAATCACGTATTTTTCTATGCTATTAAAGCGAAATCATATAGAGTCCATAACATGTTGCAATGGATGCGGATCATGTTGTTCATTTCATAAGAAGCAGTGCTAAATGGCCAGGTGCGATGCTATGTGAATTGACATTTCGCGGTCTTAAAAAGACCCATAATTAGAAATGTTTTTAAAACCCTTATCATTATCCTTCCTTAAGCAAAACATTTAAAGAAGACGTGATTCTCTATTAAGTGACTAAAAGAAAGCATAGTTTTATTTATGCTTTCTATAAAATATATTTGACCATCGAAAATAAATGGAAAAAATGCATGCTACATAAGTAGTCATTTTTTACCGAGTACGCTCTCTACAAGAGATTGAAGAGAAGTGCATTTAAAAGCCGACATCCTGCCGAGTCCGAAATGTCATAAGAGTATGCCGCAAGATAGTCAGTATTACAACCGCGACCAAGTAATCCTACCTAATCGAAAACGCATTACAGAATTTCCGCCAACAATTCATGAGAGAGGTCACTCACTGCAGAAGGTGCCACCAGAGCCGGAAGAGCGAGAGAAAACGGTCGCATCTATTCTCTGCCTGACTGGTTTGCCTGTTTAGGCTTAAAAGAGCAAAGTGAGGAACAGCGACTGACCTTTACTCCGAAATTAGTGTGATACCAACAACTATCAGCAGTCCGCGGTCGCGAACGAGAAAGACGACGGCTGCGTGAGTGACTAGAAGTAAGGCGGGCGTTCTGTGTTTTAGGGTAGGCCATCTCATCTGCCATGGTCGACACCTGTTTAATAATATGTTAACTAACTGACGATGAGCATAAGGAGATCTGGGCAGCAAAAGGTGACTGGAATCGCTGCACCTCTCTCATTCTATCTGCTATCTCATCCAGCTGTAAGATCGTAAGATGTTGAGAGCCGGACGCCAGGATCGTTTGATCATCTGCGGGTAGACGCTCTAGGAACATCTCCTTGACAAATTTATCGTCAACCTGCGTGTCTCTATGAAGAGAACGCATCCGACGTAGAAGCTCTGAGGGCTTTCGCTCACCCATGTAGTCCTACTTAAGTGAATGGTGACGCCGTTGTCGGTCGAACACAGAATCAAGCTGGAGAATTTACGCCTTTAACGTGGAAACGGCAGCATTTGCAGAAGGATTTGATAGCAAGGAGTGAACAAGAGAGCGGACACTAGCGGGTAGACCCCCACAAGTTTCTGGTATTTCGCCAGCCCCTTGGTAACGTTAGCAGAATAAAAGACTAATTCCATGCGGATGAATTATAGTTCTGGAGAGTGTTACCATAAATCAGGCAAGGTAAAAGTGATGGCATGAATGGACTGGGCGGAGGCATCACGTTGTTTGTTGGAATGAGACATCATATGACATAGATGATAATATATAAGAATTCGTGAGATAAGTAAACGGAAATAGAACGGATATTCACAGACAAATAGTACGTTAAATGTTATTCAGTATGACAGAAAGGTATAGAGTATGCGTTAACGTCGGGAATCACCAATGACGTAGATGGTAATGTCCTCACAAACTAACAACTTATATCTCACGACGCCCTAGACTTAAAAGCAGCAAGTAAAACTGAGCAGGGAATAATGTAAACATTTTAAACGTTAAGAAATCTTGACAATAGGGCACGACGGCGGAGCAATGCAGTGCGCCTCAATACGCCGAAATAGCGTTCTTACGCAACTGCGCTTGTGGCTGTTTGAGAGGTTACTGTTGAAGTTCAGTATTTGCGTCATGTTTGTCGTTTTTCGGAAAACTTAGATTTTTAGGCCACCGCAAACTTTCCGACAGACTAGGACATCAAGGAATGTCAGCTGGTTATTTTCTTCCTCCTCCATCGTAAATTACATGTAGGGGAAGACGCTGTTGAGACGTTCTTTGAGCAGTGCAGAAGAAATTGCCTGAGACTGTTCTTGGATGAAGTGGTGGCTAACTTGTCCCTCGCGTGTCTCCTAAGCTCCCTCCTTCTCTCTCTTTCGAAAATTCTCTACATTTATTGCGCCACTTTTGAACACTCGTATGCAAAGACAGGTCTATATTATTTTCTGTTTAACTATTACACTTTTCACTACCCTACCTTAAAGTGCGTTAAAGTTAATATCGACATTTACTATAGTAATCCAATTTGATCCAAAATTTATCACTTTGTTTGTTCGGGTGGGCAGCGTTTTTCCGCCGACTAACAACCTAGAAGCCACGCCTTCTGCGCATTCGCCCAGCTGCGCTTGGTTGACATCCCTCGATCCCTCTAATCGATTTTACCTGGCAAATTATTTACATATGTGCGCGAAAATGAATGAAGCAATATATTTAGGCAACGTCCTTTGGTTATATCATTTCTAGACTTCCTTTGCGATTCTGCATGTGGAGAGTGATTTACTGACCAGTATTCTACTGAACAGGGCTTGCCTAAATTTGATATTTTAGTTTAATATTACATATCCCAATATGCTTTGTTATAGGTAAGCATGATCTAAAGACAGCACAAATGATAGTTCTCCACTTTGGTTGGAGATTTGTTTGTTTGATTGTTAAAATAGGCGGAGTTATTCGGCTGATATGCAGCACTTAAAATGGAAAACACGCCAGTTTTGACAAAACTCCCACCTATATTTTCATCCAGGTAAATGTCTGCACTAGTTGACTTCACGGATGCAAACCTCATGTGTATGCACTGTAAACGCACGCAACCATTTGTTTGAGTGAGCCGAAGTTGTCTTGTCGTTTTGAAAATTGTAATTTTCACATATGAATCCTTACTTCTACTGGGGTCAACATTTCGCACACGCATAATTTAGAAATAAAACGAGCATGCTATTAATAATTTTATCAAAACCGAACATTTACATGGCCATTCTACCTTGCATTCATAGTCGGAAAACGCGGCCGCAATGGACCAAATGTGGCATAAATTAACTCAGTGTAATGCGGCAAAAAATATCTGTATCATTCCAAAAAAACTGAAAGCAATGGTCAGAAGTGTCAATTTTGTTCAGTTTCACCATGTAAGAAAGTGAAATACAGTGACATCCGTCAAGGAAACGCAGTTTTGAGGCACTCGATAAAAAGGCCATTGAGTAAAGTTTTGTGATCAATGAAAAGTATATTTTTGTACAATGTTTATTGTGAATGCAGCTTCTTGTGTGGCCTAAACTCTTATTCACAGGAAAATTATCTGCCGAACACTCGTTTCCTCGGTAAATTCCTTGACAATCCATTTTTTAAGCTTTTAATAGCTTTAGTTTTTAATTTTTAATGTTAGTGAATCTGCCTTCCTGCACTATAGGTCAAAAACCAGGTCAAATCAGGCGATTGGCTAGCAGTTATGTCTGGATATATAGCTAAATATATAGAGGTGTATGCCAACCAGACACTGTTTCAAAGGATCAAAGTGATATAATTTCATTTCTGTCATGCACAAGGGAAATAGTAACTTGGTGCTCTGTTTGCGTATTTTTTGTGCTTCCGGTCCCAACTGCTGGTAAGTCGCCTAACGAGCAAAGTTTTCTTACAGTAAACAGTTCAATGAATCCCCTCCATCTAACGTTGTCAGTGACGAACTACTCATACGACTGTTCATTTTAACTCATTTTGTACAGTGCACGGCATCTCTTCTGGCTGAGTCACTTTCACTCCCTTTTATAGGCTCCCGTATTTAATCAGACATTCAGATTCTTAAACATCAGCTCGACTGTCTGCGTGCCAAGAAAAGCAGTCAAAAAAGCTCTGAATTCGATCGTAGTGGTTATGTCAACCGTCTACAAATAGCAGTTTGTGATCGAATTCGGAGAACCTATGCCAAAGAAGTTAAGCGTAAACGAGCTTTCCGCATGGCCATGGTCTTC